GTCGTGCAAGAAGTATTTCCTTTTGTCTGCCCTGAATTTACTGCTGATCGGTTTTGTTGGGTTATCTTAAGTTCTAGTATTTGGGGAGATGGCGGAAAGTTTCTCTTTGTAAACTTTCTCCATCCTGTGTGTAATTTTATAAACTATCATGTCCCCCCTTAATTGTCTCTTTTCTACACTGAAAAGTCCCAGACTCTTCAGCCTTTCCTTATAGGGCAGGTGCTCCAACCCCCTAATAATCTTGGTTGCTGTCTCCTGTACTTTTCCTAGCTTTGATCCTGAGTGAAATTTTTCACGTCCTGAGCAGAATATAACCGCTGTGACCTTAAAATGGGCAATTGATCGAGACCCTGTGTGGCTCCAGATTGCTGCCGAGTGGGGCTTCCTGTGTTAATGAGCGGCCGCTCATGCTCACAGCTTAGATTTTCATGTCAGTGTTAGCTGATGTTGACCGAGCGCACGCTTTGAATACAGAACCTCTCAGATTCAATCTGGCATTAGGGAGAAAGAGTAAACATTAAAAATGCACTAAGATAACATAGAAACATCTCCTTGAATAGGATGCCTCCAGTGTCCCCTCTAAACTGAGTTAGTGTGAGCTAGCTCACAGCTTTTTAGCCTCCAGCTCACACATTTTTGTCTTAGCTCAGGGGGGATGGCTCCAGAGCAAACTAATGTATCTAGTAGCCAAATCGCTCCCTCACAACTTTAATGCCAGTAGCTCACAAAGTAGGATTTTTGCTCACAAGACTCCACAGCTTAGAGGGAACATTGGATCATGCCTCCAACCCCTCCTCTCTCTTTGTCCTCTTTCTCACTCCCTCACTTCTACCTTAGTCCTCTTTCTCACTCCTTCTCTTCACATGGCCTTCCATGGAGACACATGTCTCTGCAGGTCTCTCCCGTAGAGGCAATGCCCTCATACTTCCACGCACGTAATGCCGGACAAGCTGGCCATTTGTGATAGGGAAAGGACTCTTGAGATTTAGGCATCTTTCAACTGCAACCTGAATGTGAACTGGATCTGCTTGAAGAAATGTAATTTTACCCTTTTTTGCAATACACTTCTCGGGAGATTTATTTACTGCACTCAGTATCACGCTTCTGTGACTGGGCAAAACGCTGTTATATTATCCAAATATCCCAAAAGTTTGAAAGAATCTCAGGTAACAGATCTGGGAAAGTCCTTGAGAAACTGTAACGACTTGGCTAGCTGGGCCAGTGACTCTGTATGGGGCAACTTCATGTGCTGAATATAATTTTCTTGATGCTTCCTTGTAACTGGTCTTGAACCTCAGGAATGGGGCCAGAGTTGGTGGGGAAGAAGTTGAATGTGAATATGAGTGGAACAATTAGGTCAGAGACAAGTGTAAATAAAGAAATGTAAGTCATGCTGCTGGCTTTGGAACGTGGATTGAATCCCTGATCAATTTACAGCCTATGCAGTATGGGGTATGTTGCTGTGGCAAAGGACGGGCCATCTGTTTCCTCTTACATTGCACAATTCAGGGTACTCTTGACTATGTGCAAAAATGGGCTGTGATGGTGACGGCCCGTGTGCGTCTGTGAGAGAGGATACCATTGTCTCCAGAAGGCGCTTGAAGAGGAGGAGGTAGAAATGACTGATGGGGCATGTGCAAATTAAGGGACTTCCAAAGCATGAGAGAATAACAAGCTACCAAGATTCATTTAAAAGGACTCGAAGTAATCAGGTATCTGAAAATCTATGGACACCTAAACAAAAGTCCGCATGGTCAAAGCAATGGTATTCCCAGTAGTCACGTATGGCTGCGAGAGCTGGACTATAAGGAAGGCCGAGCGCTGAAGAATAGATTCTTTTGAACTATGGTGCTGGAGAAGACTCTTGAGAGTCCCTTGGACTGCAAGAAGATCAAATCAACTGTTGAACATATTGTTAATGTTATTATTGTAAAAGTTTAATAAAAAGTTATTTGCAAAAAAAAGAAGAAGATCAAATCAGTCAATCCTAAAAGAAATCAACCCTGACTGTTCCCTGAAAGGCCAGATAATGAAAATGAAGCTCAAATACTTTGTCCACCCAATGAGAAGGGAGCACTCACTGGAGAAGAAGGCCCTGATGCTGGGAAAGATTGAAGGTCAAAGAAGACGGGGACGGCAAAGGATGAGATGGTTAGACAGTGTCTTCGATGCAACGAACATGAAGTTGAGCAAACTTCAGAGGACGGCGGAAGACAGGAAGGCCTGGTGTGATCTGGTCCATGGGGTCGCGAAGAGTCGGACTCGACTGTGCGACTGACCAACAACAAAAACATCTGGTGCCAGGTCCTTGGGAGTGGGTGTACTACTACAGCCTCTATAGACCTTTGATACCTAGGAGAATTCTTTCTCTTTCTACTTTTTCCTATCATGCCGTACTTTTTTCTCAAACCAAAAGGCAGCATGGGAAAAAGCCGTTGATTAAACCAAGTTCATCTCTCTTTGGGGAAGGGCAAGGCTGGAAACCTGACGGATCAGATGAAAGACTAGAGGAAT